GTTTTAGCACACTTGCTGTCAGACTCCATGCTCACACCAAGCAAAGCAGGGACACATCGTATAACAGCTCTACAGACACAAATATTTCACAACAAACTTGTTCCCCAAACCTTTTTAACTCATATGAAACTCCACAAATATTTTCCTTATAGCTCCTCACTCTAGAACTGGACAAGTCGATATGTGCTCGGTGTTTCTGGTTTTAACACACACACACATCCACACTCAGACAGCTGCTGCCAGATCAAAGAGTCAGAAAGCTATGCATTGTCAAGTGGAGCTGGGTCAATATTACAATTCCCAGAGTGTAAGTGAAGGGCTTTGTGTTGTGATTCATTTCAGATACTGAGAGTGCTCCACCAGATGAAGGTCACCGTGGATAAAGTGTCTTCTTGCCCTTCACTGTTTACAGAGGCCTGAGGGACACGGGTGTTCTGCTTTAACACACAAGAGTGGATTAAGAGGGTGGCTAAAAACTGCACAAAGGTGCTACACATGTCACTCAATATCATGCTGTCAAGTGTGGGTACAGCTTAAACAGTGGCAGCCTAATGCTTCCGGGGTTGTCATGTGTCAGAGACCGAAAATTGGTGGGACTGTACGCTGACAGCAAGTTAGTGACATCACAAATGCAACAACCTACCTCTGAAATGTGATGCAGAGTCTTATAGTTTAGTTGAAAAACAGTGTGCGTTATTACTCCTTTTGTTGTTTTGCCAAAGGATTTGAAGGCCGTGAGAAATCCAATGAAGGAAGGGAGACAAAGGAGGAGTGCAAACATGGAGGTCAAATCTTTTCATTTCCCTATAAACACAAATATGCGGGGGTGGTTTCAGCCTTGTACTAAGGCAGCATATGTACGATCAGCTGCCTGTTCATAGTCACCATAGCTTTTCTGTCTCTCATCTCTTATCAGGCTTTTTTTCCCATTGCATCAGCTTTCTGTGTTGCTTTTTCACATGATGGACAGTTTGGTGGGGAAATGAAACAGAAATATGTCTACTTAAATAAGGCATTCTCCAATCATATCTTTTTTTAACAACAGATTTTTCTGTCATATTTATTTATGTATGTATGTATTTATTTATTAATATTTTACATAAGAAAATTCATAACAAAAATGTTAATGCATAATCATGATCTTCAGACGAATCAATATCTAGCGTTCTCATCACGTCCTGCTGGGTCATAATCACAATATCAGATGAGTTCAAAAATACAAAAGAATAAACAGGAGCAGGATAGAAAACAGTGTAGCTACATTACTAAAAATTGCATTTAAACACAATCTTGCAGCTCTTCAGCTGCATTCAGTGTTTAAGAGGATAGACCTAAAAATAATCCAGCATGTCATTTTCTGTGACTTTTTTACCTTTGTATGACACCTTTAAGGCAAATTCAAAAATGCTTTACTAAGAAGTTGGCTGTGTTGTCGTCTAAACACATTATTGCACAGTTCACCAAACAATTGAAATATCCTGCATCATATATTATTACCAGAGGAGTGTTAAAGTTACAGCCTCTGGTAGCTCTGTCTTTTTATCAAACATCTTATGACACTCATTGGATTGTCTCATGTTTATTATTTAAATGTTTGTATCTCACAGTATTGTATCTCACATAGATTAGAATGACTAGTCAGTGTCCTTGGATCAGTTCTGTTTGTTGATCATCCATAGTGTTAACAGGAGTTCAGGAGGATTACAGCTGGATCCTTCTGCACCGAGCAAATTCTATTTTCCCCCACTATCTCCATCCGCCTCCAAGTGAACTCTTTGAGTGTTAAGTGGACCTATTCACAGCCAAAGAAGCTATCTCCAGAGTAATTATGCAAGATCATTTGGTAACCATGACAACACATTTGTCTCAGTCAGAGAGTGAAGGTATTTTTCGTGATAAGCAGTGAATTAAATGAAAAGGCATGAGGTGCTGTTTGTGTGCTTCTCTGCAGAACCCCGAACAGCTTCATAATGTGTGAGGACTCTGGAGAAAAGAGTGAAAAGCTGTATTTTAGTTCTGTCCTACATCACAAATTTAAGGTATGTCATTGCGAGACCTGAAGGTTACACCATCAAGCTGTCCCACATCCATGTTTGGCTGCCTTTCATAAATTGTTGTTTGCAGGTTGTGTAGGGCGAGCATGATGGCTGACTGGACTCTGGTCCAACTCTCTCAGCGGGTCTAAACTCTTTGTCATCTCGATCAAAAACACACCTGCATGGTTTAATGCCATCAAACACAAAAGCTCTGCAGTTATTGTGTTCAAATAAGGTCTCAAATCAGACTATCATGTGTGGTTGTGTTGTAATCAGTAAGAGGCACAGAGGCACAATATATAAAGGTTTGCACATAGAAAGACACGTGGAAAATGCATACAGTCAAAAAAAAGCTTATCTACAGTACAAGGTGCACACAGAGATTATGGGTTTAAAAAGATACAACACAAACATTTAGCATGTTAGCCTCCATTAATATGCAGAACATATGCTGATCATCAGAATGTGCAAAACTACTGGGAGGAAAATATGCATATGTTCTGTATTTTCTTTCCCCCAGTACAGTAATATGAATTATCAAACCTAAAACAGAATGCAGCTGTAGTTTTTTTCATTGATGTCTAGCAGGTTTGGACATCTGAATAGTGATAAATTAAAACTGTAGAGATACATTACACATTAATATCCAACAAAGTGAATTTTAGGGAAAACTCATAGTAACATTGCATGGGTCTTAGCTTGATTGATCATTCCAACCACAAGTGCTGGATTCATGGTAGAGAATAATAATCATAATAACAAAAAAAATAAATAAATTGAAGCATGAACATAGCATGAACATAAAGGCGGTCTTTTTCCATAGAATGTAAATTGTATTGGTAAAATGTGTTATATTATAAAAAAA